TGGACGCAAAACAATATGAAAAGAATAGGCAGAAAAAATGTAACAGTGATACAATTTAAGGGCCATTATTGTAACCCCTCTACGTTTTTGCACTTTGGACCAACGTAGCCAGGGTACGTTTTTATATGAGACTGGGTTGTTCTGAACTACAACTTTTGCAACCTGCTGGTGGTACAAAGTCAGCAAGACACATCATCACAGGACCATGAGTGTCTCATGGCAATCAATCCAACAGCTGTTGAGAAATCTCAGTCTGGTCTGTGAACCGACTGACAACTTCTATAGAGGTTATATCATTTCTGTCACGCTATAAGAATTTTTTTTGCACTCTCAAAGTTCACTTTCTCTGACCTGCATGGAAAATGAGTGATAAATGTGTGTTTTGTGTGCTTGTATACATTGTTTGGCTGTATTGTGTGCATGTATACATACACATTTTCTGTCTGTCTCTGTGCGTCCTCTGCAGGTATTGAGTCCCACCTACAAGCAGCGGAATGAGGACTTCAGGAAGCTTTTCAAGCAGCTGCCTGACACTGAGCGCCTCATTGTGGGTGAGTCCAAATAACACAGATATGCATACAGTCAACTATAGTGTAAACAGGACAATTACTATGTAAGTGTTGATCCCATGTAGGCCCTAACTGCTGAAATGCTGCTTTCATCTTTCCCACATTACCTATTGTCCCTCGCTATGGAACGTTATGGACTTGTGACTCTTGAACTTTGATGCTCACTGTTTCCAAACACATCTGTTATTTCTTGACCTTTGACCTTTAACTCCTTCCAGACTATTCCTGTGCCCTGCAGCGGGACATCCTCCTGCAGGGACGCCTCTACCTTTCAGAGAACTGGATTTGTTTCTACAGTAACATATTCCGATGGGAAACCCTGGTGAGGAACTTTATCTAACTAGAGAACCCTTAGAATGTAATTCATATAAAGTGCTTACTTTTTGTACTATAAAATAGGGGTCATTGACTGGATAGATTGTACTTTGTGATTGATAGTTTTTTCCATAAACACTCTGGACCACATTCAAGAACCTGAACTGTACAAAATGGTGCCACATTTACTCAAATTGAAGTTGCACACTCGCAAAATCAATATTTTTTATTTTAATGTATCTTTGGTAATCGACCTCTACAGTGACAACTTCTCCTCTTTACTCACAAGCTGATGGTTCGATTGAAGGACATCTGCTCCATGACCAAGGAAAAGACAGCCCGCCTCATTCCCAACGCAATCCAGCTGTGCACTGACAATGAGAAGGTAGGCAGCTCCACATCCTCACTTTCATATACTGCTATACAATCTCATTTCATTTCAAATGTTAATATATAATGCTCGGATATAAATGTGCCTGAACATGGGTTGAAATGTTTCCTCTATTTATGAAAACTGGATATTATTCAAACTGGGTACCAACAAGTTAAGTACAACAAGGAAAGAAAAAGGGATGGAGGTTTTTCTTTATTTTAATTTGCTGTGATCCTAGTTGGATCATTGATTGACTATGAAGACTGAAAGTTTCAGAAAATATAATGTTATTTTATAGAAGTTAGCGACTCTAGCTTTAATATGCATTATTATACAGTATGGTGCTTTTGATGGCATGTTGACACTGTTCAAAACAACTCAATATATTTGTGTTCCCAGATACTGTGGACATCATCACTAAAAACGCCTTTCTCATAATTTCTTCATCTGACAGTTAAATATATTCTTCTCTCAGCACTTTTTGACCTCATTTGGGGCGAGGGACCGGACGTACATGATGATGTTCAGACTGTGGCAGAATGCTCTCCTGGAGAAGGTGAGATTACATCACATTTACTGTATTATGTTACTGTTGAACCTGAAAAGACCTGCCACCATCATTCTTCCTGGATGGTGAAATAATAATTGATTATAATCAATTGGTGCGTTGAGCTGGACGGACTCACTGAGAATGACTTGTCAGTCACAAGGTAGCCCCGCCGTAAAGCATACCCTGCTTTATGGTCTATTTTACTCTAAATGGAATCATCAACATCATGCTGTATGGAAGAAGACTGAAACTAGAGATTGAGGCCATAAACTCATTAGGAAACTGTTTACTGAGCTCATAAATCAAGTCATTAGGCTCATCTTCTTTTTTGCAGCCCATTGAGCTGCCCACTGCTGGCCATTGGAAAGAATGCAGGTTTAAGACCACAGCAAGTTGGCTTCACTTCACAGACCCAGAAGCTCTGTCCACTATCTATACTGTCAATGGTCACACCACACCTGTGCACTGTATTTCTTATTTTGAGTTTTAACATATGTCATCATTATCTGTAACCAAAGTTCTGTTTTGATATTTGATAAACTCTCTTTGTCCCCGTGTCTCTCTCCTCTCACTTGTATTTCCTCTCTCAGCCTTTATGTCCGAAAGAGCTGTGGCACTTTGTCCACCAGTGTTATGGTAACGAACTTGGCCTGACCAGTGATGATGAGGACTATGTCCCTCCTGATGAGGACTTCAACACCATGGGGTGAGTATTAAACACAACCATAAACATACCACTCAACGTGCTTCCATCATATGTCCCATTTCACCTTACACCTTCCTCACTTATGGTGAAAAATATTCCAAGTGTAACCATGTTTTTGTGTATGTTATCTGTGTCTGACATGGCTGCTCCTTCCTTTACTTCCTTATTCATAAACAGTAGGTGATCAATTAGATATGACACACACTAATACACCGGTGCTGTGCAATGTATGAGTGTGCATGAATGATTAGTTTCCATTCTGGTGAGCAGTCATAGTAAAAGAGAAGTAACGGAATATGTCAGCCTTAAGAAATAAATGTGTTTTAAAAGCTGCATTGGGTATTTATCAGGGATCCAAATAGTCCATCTTGCAGGAGAATCAATAAAGTAAACCAAAAACCATGACCGCATCCATCACACCCATGCTCATGCATGTGTGTAGCCCAGTGCGGGCAGTGTGCAGCAAGCTGGTAACCTTGACCTACAGCTGCTGTCCGTCTCCATGGTGCAGGTACTATGAAGAACTGCCCGTTGAGGAAAACAACGAGCACAACGACACCAGCAACACCGCCAAGAACACTGAAGCCAAGCCAGATGTCAGCCCCCTCCTGCCCCACAAAGTCTTCCCTAACAACGTCACGCTGGAGCTACCCAGCGCCGATTCTTCAGTCCCTGTGAGTAAGCAGGAAAACATGTCGTCATCCCACATCTTCAAATACTGACGCCACTTTGTCACGCCCCTTGGAATCTCATGACGAATCACAAGGTACCCTTGTGCATAAGATGGTGTATGAGACTCCTTTTTAACACAGTGTTAACATTAAAGTGTTTGGTTAGGTTTAGGCAACAAAACTACTTGGTTAGGTTTAGGAAAATATTATGTTTTGGGTTAAAATAAATACATTGCATGACATATTACTGCCATTACTGTGACAACATGACACAGGTCAAAATAAAAAACAAAAAAACGTTCTTTACACTATGTCACCTTATTTGGATGGGTTACATTGGACTCACACAGAGGTGGCAAAAGTGCAAGTCAAGTAGAAGTACTGATTCAGCTTCTTTATGCAAGAAAAAGTAACAAAAAGTACAGGCTCTGAAAAGAACAATGTACTCTCTTGGTTTCTCTGAAGGACTTTTCTACCGGCTTCAAACAGAGTCGAGTCTCCCTCTCTGGTCTACTTCCTATTGCATTGTTTTTGTCATGTTATGTCTTGATGCTGGGAAGGTGTACAGTAATGCAAAAAGTAAAGTAAAAAATAAATTAATCAATATTTCCCTTTAAATGCATTAAAACTAAAGTAACAAGCCTGTTTTGAAAATGGCAGGAGTAGATAGTTCAGATATTTTTGTAAAAATGTAGGGGGTAATGCTAAAGGGTACTTTGTGCATCTGTATGGAGAGGGGTGTGACAAAACACCAGTACTTGACCATAGTATTAATTGAAAATGGACTTATGTGACGTCCCCCATAGATTTCTGAAAAGCCATTCATCCGGCTCTGGCCGTCACCATTTTGGCAGTCCTGACTCCCGGCTAACCGCAAAATGCAAAAAGAGGCTACCTGGTTACAGAAAACAGCCACCTATGACAGCACCCATCAGTCAAAGTACCCACCAAGCCTTAATATAATATAAACGGTTATAAGTTATATACATACATGTTTATTAACAGGGAAATTAGCTATGTTCTTCGTACCAGGCTCTAAACATGTTTATTTCTGCTGTAAAGTTGGGCATTTTAATATGAGGCCTTATTGAGATTAACTCACTGTTCAAGCCAGCCTGATAGCAGGCTGGTTATCTTTAAACATAAAATTTGATTGTAAGCTTTTAGTGCCGAGAACAATTGTATAAGACTGTACACATAGACATGTAACTAAACAAACATAAACATACTATTTAGCTATTATGTACAGGCAAGTAGATATTAAAGTATTATATATAAACAAAAAATGGACAACAAATATAAACATGTAGCACTGTATTGTTAATGTATACGACTGTGGGCTGGTTCTGGTAACACGCTACATGTTTCATTCCATTGAAGAAAGTTTTCGCCTTTGAGACAACAACAAGAGTGGATAACTTCTGATTAGAATAACCAAAGGAGTAACAGCAATAAGAAATAATATTAAGGTTTTCTTGAAACTCCATAGAAACCTTTCAATGTCCCCAGGGAGTCCCCTCCCACACGACCCACCTAAATAAACAAGATCTTGTAAAACCGGTGTGCCATCAGAAGCTTCTTACAGTTTGCACAAGGGATCGTACATTTTCAATTGTTCCTAACCTGCACTATGGTGAATGCAACGGTAAGCAATTGCAAGAATTTATATTTTGAAATGTATTCTTCAGAACTTCAACTGGTGTACTGTCTGTACAGTAGTGGATATTTCAAATACTACGTTGTTTTTTAAACTGTTGGGAAGCTCTTAGAATCCAAAATTCATACAACAAATGTAATAATTTAATTCTGTTCGTGCTGTTATATCTCTAACTTTTGTCCCTATGATCAACCTGCTCTCACTCCCAAGTTGTCAAATACTGCCGCTTGGTCAGTGGCCCTCTTCTTCAAAATATGACCCTGTGGGTAGCCCTCTAGGGTCATTTCTGGATGCGTCCGGCGTCAAAGTCAGATGATGTAGTTTGAAAAGCTTAGATATGGAGATGGTGGGTGGATCAAACAAACACAGGACATTGACCCAGGAGACTGCTGTTAGTGTGGCGTGTGAAACCAAAAGTACATTAATTTCCACACTTATATGTCAGGTTTGTTTCTTTTATTTATGTACCCCTGTCAGGTACATGATGTAACTTAGAATCTTTTCCTAAACCTAACTAGACGATGACGTCAACCACGGAAGCTTATTTTTTAGGTCTAACCAGATGTTCCATTTACTGTTGCTAACTTTACCGTGGAGCCTTGTATTTTAAAAAGTCCTGTGACCTGCTGATGAAGGAGCTGTCTGCTCGCTGCTGCTGTCTGTCTCTCTGTCTCTCTCCTTCTCTCTCAATTTCTCCGTTACTTATCTCCACCAGAGGTTCCTCTGCTCTGCTGTCGTCACTCTCTACCCACAATGAATTTCCCCTTGGGGATGAATAAAGTATCTATCTAATCTAATCTAATCTAATCTAATCTAATCATTCTGTATTTGGATGTGACTGAGCTGTGTCCCCGCTCTGTCTGTGTGCTGTGCTCATATGACTGGTGTGAAATAAAGCAGAAAATCTAACCGAAAAAAAAAAATGTTCGGATGAAAAAAACAGACTTGTGTGCAAAAGCCTTTACTCTCAGCCTTCCAAGTTTTTCCTTGCTGCCATCACAAAGTGCTTGCTCATGGTGGGAACTGTAGGGTCCTTGTGAATAATTTTACAAGGAGTACGGTCTAGACCTGCTGTATTTAAAAAGGTATCCTAAGATAACTTCTGTTATGAATTGGCGCTATACAAATAAAATTGAATTGAAAATGGAATTCAATTCCAAGCGTGTAGGAGAAACTATAAATTAAAATGCAAAACGCCGTATCTGGTGTTTGGTTTGTCCGTTTTGGTCAACTGTAAAAACATGGTGGCCTTTTAAATATGTTATAGTTTTCTGCTTTTGTGCTCCTTGAATCTTTATTTATTCTTTCTATTAGAAATTGCACTGCTTTCTGTTTTATCTGTTTAATCTATTTTATGCTTTTTGTCAGTGGTTCCAAACCTGGGTACCTTGTCCCCCCCACTCGGGGTTGCCAAAGCTCTTTATGGGGTTGAGAGGCCTTTGCAGAGCATTTGAGCAAATTTACACAGTAAGCCTGTTAGCAGCGTTTGGTTCTCTTCTGTGAATAAATGTAAATTGTCTAATAAAACAATGGCCAAGTGTCAGGGAGAAGAAAACATGGATTTTCCTTTTAAGTTTGTATTATTCTTAACAACAATTAAAAAATTACATAATGCAAACAGAGAATTGTCTGTATTATGTAAACAAATATCAAAATTCGTCTAAATCACTTGTTTTATATAAACTGCCTGCAGTTACTGAGTTCACTATTTTGGTTCATTGTATAGTTTTGAATAAAATATTAAATATCCATAAAATATGTAATTCAAGCAGGGGTCATCAGTTTTCTCAATGATAGAAAAGGGCTCCCTTAATGAAAAAGGTTGGGAACCACTGCTCTATGTAAAGCACTTTGAAATGTGCTGTATAGATAAACTCGCCTTGCCATTTTGGCTCTTCCTGGTCCAGCAGTATGACCTGCCCCCTGTTGAGGATGTACCCAGCCCTCTCCCTGATGCAGACCTCCTGACACTCCCCATGCCTGAGAACCGCAGCAGCCAGCCGAGCAGCCACACCCCTTCACCGTCACTGGACCTCAACGACAACGAGGACTTGCCCACTGAGCTCAGCGACTCATGCGAGACGCACAACGAAGGTGTGTGTGTTATTTCACACATAAAATAGAAAATGCAGTCATCCTCCTTAACATAAACCATAAGTGAATTTGTTGATCACTGTTCTTTTTATGTGTGATTTTTAAATGTTCATCTGTTCAGTTTTCACCCCACTACACGGTCACACACACAAACACTCTTCTGTGCAGGCGAGGTGCAGGCCTTCCACGAGGACCTGAGTGGCAGGCAATACATCAACGGGGTGTACAAGTTTGGTGTGGACAAGATGTATGACTTACTATTCACTGAGTCTGAGTTCATGAGAGACTTCCGGGCGCAGAGGAGGTTCTCAGGTAAACCCATTATAGAACATACACTCTACATGTCACTAGAACATTTCCTCTGTCTGCTGTGTGGAAATTGATCTTTATTGTTCTCCCTAATTGCTGTAGTTTCTAACTAACTCTCTCTGTTTTGAATACAATTCAAGTTAAATTCTAAAAGCTGAAACAAATTCATCAAACTGAGCATGGGAAAGGATCTCAATTCTTTGTTCATTACAGAAACACTATGTAAGTTTTGGTATTTGTTACGATTTGACGCCCCCAGTTGCAATAACACTGGAAAATATAGACAGCTTATGATTACATTACTTACGATCAAAAACTAGCTATTTGACATTGTTACTAACACAGCCAAACATCAAGCAAGTGCAACAACAGACATAGCAAGCAACTAATATAACTGACTACGCCAACAGCAAGAAGGCCAGCTCGCCGTCTGTCTGCAGGCTTTTATTTTACAAAGTTCTCGCCAACGACTTTGCCACTCTTGTCTGGCTGCTTCTCTCTCCTTTTCTCTTTTTAGCTTCCTCCATCAATGTCTTCTTAGGTCCTTGAGCCTCTGCCATATCCACAGAGGTTGATGAGCACATTGCCTGCTTGCATTGATTCAGTTCTGGCACGACACCAGCTCTGCTCCTAGCAGTCCAAAGTCCAGTCCTTTGCTAGCGGTGCAAATATACAAACATTCCCCCCGGTGCTTTGAGCTCCCAGTCCAGGCAACACGGAGTTCACTACCTTGGTGGTTAACTTATTTCAGCAACTAATTAAAGCTTCCTTTCCATCAGGAAACTCAGTCAAAGACAGTTTAGGTGAAGCAGCGGAAAGACATCAGAAAACTGTTTTTCTCCATAAAATATGATCCAGTTTCACCAAAATCAGTTATATAGTTGGTGGTGTGTGACTACTGCTGTAGAACGTTACACAATTATTGCAACCCAGAGCCAAAAGTTACATAGATAGATAACTTTATTAATCC